TGCTGCATGTCACACCATGTGCTCACTTTTGCTCTATATCCCTTTGTTCCCCATATCAACATTGCCTGCCATCATGGTGGTGTAGTTTGCAACTCATGGCTCAAGCAATAAGTGCAGGGTTACATGTGGCAACGCAAGCATGCAAAGGTGCAACAAAAGGAAGTGTAAACATAACGCAGCATATGCGACCGTTACTGTGTGTGTTACGCGTGAGGTTATCCGCCTTGTTTGCTGGCGAGAGGGGGGCTACGCCCGACGACGTTATTAATTTCTTAACGAAGGCAGCACCTGAGGCTACATCATGGTACCGTGATGAACCGTGTACCGTTGTCTAGATGATCGCGGGAACTGTCTGAATGATCACGGTTCAACAGGAGCTTTCAAGATGATCGCGGGAGACCAAGGCGTGTGGAGGGCTTTGTCTTGGGGAGGAGCAAGACGCGGGAGGGCATTTGCTCTACAACGCCAAGGAGGTAATGCATTTGACACATAGTACATAGCCGAACACTCATCATGCCATGTCGAGTCGCCCACATCCACTTATCATACTACTACTGCTGAAGTGCAGGTAATGCACGGCACGCTGCTCGTATCGGCAGTACAGACCATGGTGGGGTGGAGAATGCTACGGCTTCATCTAATAGTTCCTTGCCTCCTTTGCCTGTCGGGGGTGGTGGTGATGGCGAAGGCATACCCTCAAATCCTTCCCTGCCTACTTTGCCCGTCGGGGGGGGTGGTGATGTCGAAGGCATACCCTCGAATCCTTCCGTGCCTCCTTTGCCCGTTGGTGGTGGTGGTGATGCAAGCGGCAGCATGCCATTGCCTATAGCACCATCGAGCACGATGAATGGCATGCTCGAGGACAGGTGAGAAGTTGAGATACTTGCATATTTGAATTCATGTTCCTACCTTATAAATTCATCTAGTCCCTCTTATCCTCTTTACACTTTCAATTCAACGATGCGTTCATCGTTTGTTTCCTTCTTCTACACCCCCTATAAGGCCTGTTTGTAGCCATCCTCGCGCGAGCGCGCACGGGACAGTCTCCAGGCATTGGCCCACATCACGAAGTGTCGATGATATTTCACAGCAACGGGTATGTCTAGTCGAACTGTGTACCATTGTGGGGTTCTTCAAGGGGTGTCTCTTAGTGTGCTCACATCAAGATACATGCGGAGGTGCCATGTCTCTTAGGTCGTAGAAGTTTTCATGGGCATCAGTCGGCATGTTTTGGAGATGTGATAAGTGTTCCCACGGTGTGGAATTCTGGTCGTGCACCAATCGAACTCTTGACAAGAAGAGAGTTGGGGTTGGTGCACGAGTGCCCATGCTACATTTAAAATATGTGGGAGCATTCGTGCTTGCTGGGATGGGGTATCAACAGATGTGGGAGTTTAGCCGCAATTTTGGCATTCCATGTTCTGGAAAAGGAACTTCTTATAGATACCTTGGGGGCGATAATGGGCTATGGAAAACAATCCTTGGGGAGGCGGATAAGTCGATGGCTTTGGTGCGGGAGGAGATGAGCAAACGTGACATGCTAGCAGAATACGTGACGGTGGATAGCCGATGGTCACATGTCCAAGAGGGTGAGTGGTGCACAGTGTCGTTCGTGGACATACTGACACGGAAGATCTTCTATTATGTAACAACACGTAAAGGGGTGGATGATAGATCGTCTGTGCGATTGGAGCGGATTGCATTTGACAGAGGGGTTGATGAGTTGAGGCAATTGGGGTTCGATGTGAAGGGCATCATTTTGGATCAAGGGATGACATTTAGAGGCGCTGCGGTAGAGCGAGAGCTGGACCATCAGGTGGATTGGTGGCATGTGAAGCGGACGCTGTACAATCTTTTCTGCAAAGAGCTTCAGGATCAGGTGCGGTTGGCTGTGGAGGTGGACAAGGCAAGCTGCATCAAGGAGCTGTGGTTGGCTAAGGTGGAAGATCTAAGGAAGTGGTTGAGGATTGGTGAAAGAGGCAAGGGGGACACTCAAAGCAGATCTTGTGAAATCAGTATGTGATGCCATGGGCACCATTGCATATATGAAGATGACCCCTGATAAAGCAAAGTGGAAGTTTCCTGAGCTGAGAAAAGTCCAGCGGCTGGGAGGAGAATGGGTGGCGGTAGATGTCCCAACGGGATATGGCGAGGTGCGTCCTGATATAGTTGGAGAGATGTAGCCCATCGTTCGAGACGACGCGGTTGACGAGGCAGATGCGGGCGCAACCCAAGTTGATGTACAGTGAGCGGATGTGGAGGAGTTATGGCAATACGATATCCATCCTGTGCGTGGTGCGAGACCATCGTCATGGGCTAGTTCTCTCATCGTGCACGCACATGCGGGTGCATGCAGTAACTTACGATCTATCGGCGGGACGACTCCGTGGGCCAACGTTGATGAAGCCACTGGTATGGATGCCTTGTGAAACTAACTTCTCATGCCATATTCAGATTGGATTTCGCCGATTGTTTCCGCAGATTTTTAGAAGTATAAAAAATTGTTGATATTGTTGGTTTTGACATAACAGAGATGATGGCTGGTGACAACAACAATGGAGCTGCAAACGAGGCTGACATTCAGGGAAGTGACGTCGGAGAGAATTTGCCTCGTTGGACTAGGCGGCGAAAACGGAAACGTGGCGGAGATGAGACAAATGCAGGCGATGAGGAGAGTATGGTGGTGCAGCGCTTCGCCTCGCATTTCTTCCATGTGATGATGCGTTGCGCGGCACTGTTGAAAGCGGGCACCCCTATGACTCCTGATGATGTGGCGAGGGAAATTGGGACGGCACCTAACCATTGGGCAGGTGACCACTCCGAGTGTGGAAGGAACGGGAGTATCCCTCCAAGGTGTGTTGCCGAGAAGTGGGGCAGAGAATGCGCACTTTATGAGCCTGGATCGGAAACGCACAAGGCGGTTCTTGCATGGTTCAAGAAACGGTGTTCGCAAGACAGTGTGAAACTTTATGTTCACGGAGCCAACGGTTCCATAAACACGTCTTTCCATTCCCTGATCATCAAATACGCCACTAAGCATATTAGGTTGAAAGGTAGTCTTGAGGCACTAGTGGGACTTGCTGTCCTTCATTGGAATAACTTGATGGACAGGCTGGTCACTTCATATCGCAATCGTGTACGGCAAGTTACTCGGGTGCGACGAGGCAACAAGGATCGAACCCTAGGACCTATGGATTGGTCCTGGGTTGATCGGATTATGGAGGACTGGCAACGATCGTTCGGGTTTGGAGTCGACAATGAGATTATGGAGATGGCCCCAAAGAGGCAGACGCATCATCCTATTGATTTGTCTTGTGGAGGGCGACACCCATCTGTTGTTGAGCCGGTTACTCCTGTGCGTCAAGGTGGCACGGTTCGCGGCCTTTCTTCGACGCGTGGTGCTGTGCGACATCTCTTATGTAAGATCTGTACCACATTCTCACCAACCCTTACTCATGTCTCTTATAATCTCGTTTCACGCTTCTCATTTGCGATCATGTTACAGGGGATGCCAGCAACTATCCTCGGTAAACGTTGCGGAAACACCTGCGGATCTGGGGATAGATCAAAATCACCAATTTGTCCAACACGCTGCGTCAATTCACATTTTGGCGATGCCGGTGTGTGTCTTGAGGGTAATTGTGCTCATCCTTGTCCATAACACTGCTGCTCATGCTCGTAACACTATTAGAATGTGCAACTTTCGCTTCACCTTCTATATTCCCTTTTAGTCCCTATGTGCCCTCACCCAGTCTTGTCCTATGCTCCCATCCTTCTCCCTTGCTTGCCCATCTCACGCCCTCATGCTTCAATTCCCCTGTCTAGTCATTCTGTACCATCCACCCCAGTCACTCATGGAGCATTATTTCTCCTCACATTCCAACCTTTTTCTCTCAGCTCCTAGACATGCTTTTGGGAAAGGACATTGGTGTGGAGTCGGTGCCATACGAGTAGAGAGGCATGGTGGTGGCTCCGCGCCTGACCCCAATGGGGGCCTTGGCGGCCTTTGATGTCAGCCACGACGTGGACCCCTCCGAGCACATCCTCATCCACCGACAAGTGCGAGTGCCACTAGTCATGCGAGTCAACAGTAGTTGCGATGCTGCTGCCAAGTGCAATTGAGTGATTTATTGTTTACCATCAGGTGTCTTTCGTAAACCCTTCACCATTGTCAGCTTAGCATGCCTTGTTAGACTGCCCCATTATCCCCTTTGCAATGTATTAGGGGCTGCTACTCCATCCGATTCCATGCTTTCCTGCCCCTAGTCCTCTATGCATACCACATCCATTAATTTTCTTTTGCTCGTTTGACTATCATTATTTTCATGCTGCCCATGCCTCACACCCCTCCCCACACATGCGTTCAACCACAGCTTCTTGGACGTTGTTTCAACAACTTTCATGGTCGGGACTGGCCCCTTATTTCTCCCGACTCGAGGCTCTCATTATGATTCGTCTCTTTATTTGCAATACTTTTCTACACTGTACTACAGGTCCATTTGGCGTCCGAGACATTTTTGCATTGGTAGGAAATTTGCTCGACCATACATAACATTACCTTCACACAGTTGAGCATATGTAGCCTAGAGATAAAACTCCTCCAACCTGCTGCAATTTTGGCAGCAGACAGACTACCCCATCTAAAGCAAGTAATTTGGTGTTTCTGCTCATGACAAATAATCATTAGCATGTGTGTGCCTCAAGGTGCTCAAAGGACACATCCAGAATTACCGTGTCGGCCCCAAAACTGTCACCACTTTCACGTGATTGTTCGAAGGGTTTGAGTGGGTTTTTGACGCGATTGGTTCTCGATTTTCCCACCGAACCTCCTTCTGGGGTTTTCCGAACCTACAATTTTTTCGTTGACTTCGTTGTGTAATTCGGGGTGTGGCCTTCAAGTCACAACATACACATGTAATGTATATTCCAGACGATTTTACATAGAAATTTGGAAATCCAGATTTATGCGAATGAGCGCTCGTCGACCACATATGTTTGCCTCAATGGTCCTGGTTTCGAGAATGGCACAGCATAAGCAAACCTGCAGTGGGAGTCTAGAGTTCCATAGAATTGAGTGCCATCATGTGGTGCACGAGCCAACAGGTGGCGTTGGAGATGGACAACGCGTGGGCTCCATCCACATCAGTGCATTGGTCTTGGTTGAGGGCGGAGGTGTGGTGGCGCTGAGCTTGCTGACGGTTGCCACACATAAGGAGAGGTTGAGGGAAAGCGAGGCAGTGGGTGGTGAAAATAGGAGAGAGGGTGAGGGGGATAAGGAGAAGGGGGACAATAAGAAGGGGGACAAAGAGAAGGGGGACAAAGAGAAGGGGGACAGAGAGAAGGGGGACAAAGAGAAGGGGGACAGAGAGAAGGGGGACAGAGAGAAGGGTGACAGAGAGAAGGGGGACAAAGAGAAGGGTGACAGAGAGAAGGGGGAGAGAGAGAATGGGGACAGAGAGAAGCGGGACAGAGAGAACGAGGACAGAGAGAAGCGGGACAGAGAGAATTGGGACAGAGAGAAGGGGGACAGAGAGAAGGGGGACAGTGAGAAGGGGGACAGAGAGAAGGGGGAGAGAGAGAAGGGGGACAGAAAGAAGGGTGACAAAGAGAAGGGGAACAGAGAGAACGGGGACAAAGAGAAGGCGGACAGAGAGAAGAGGGGCGGTGGAGAATGGGGACGGCAAGGAGGACAAAAGAAGGGGGACAGAGAGGAGGGGGACAGTGGTTACGGGGATAGAGAGAAGGGGGAAAGAGAGAATGGGGACAGAGAGGAGGGGGACAGAGAGGAGGGGGACAGAGAGAAGGGGGACAGAGAGAATGGGGACAGAGAGGAGGGGGACAGAGGGGAGGGGGATAGAGAGAAGGGGGACAGAGAGAAGGGGGACAGAGAGAACGGGGACAGAGAGAAGGCGGACAGAGAGAAGAGGGGCGGTGGAGAATGGGGACAGAGAGGAGGACAAATAGAGGGGGGACAAAGAGGAGGGGGACAGAGAGAACAGGGACAGAGAGAAGGGGGACAGAGAGAATGGGGACAGAAAGGAGGACAAATAGAAGGGGAGAAGGGGGACAGAGAGAACGGGGACAAAGAGAAGGGTGACAGAGAGAAGGGGGACATAGAGAAGGGTGACCGAGAGAAGGGGGAGAGAGAGAAGGGGGACACAGGGAAGGTGGACATTGAGAAGGGGGACAGAGATAAGGGGGACAGAGAGAAGGGTGACAGAGAGAAGGCGGACAAAGAGAAGGGGGATTGAGAGAAGGGGGACAAAGAGAAGGGGGATTGAGAGAAGGGGGACAAAGAGAAGGGGGATAGAGAGGACACAGGAATGAGAGGACAGGGGGATGAGAGGACAGGGGGATGAGAGGAGGATGAGGAGATGGGGGAATGGCAAGACGGGAGGACGGGAGGAAGGGAGGGAGGAAGGGAGGGAGGAAGGGAGGGAAGAAGGGAGGGAGGGAGGATGGCAATTTCCCCCTCAGAATCGTGTTAACTAAGGCGTGCAGATGGGTGGAGACGGTTGCGTTAGTTACTGACGAATCGCGAAGGTGTTCAAATGTCATTCCGCTCGGGCCGGCCCCAACGCCGTTCTCGCATCGGCTGAGCATCTTCGAAAAATCCGCGTAGGATATTTCGAGGGTGGAAGGTTCGGTGATGACTGGCCAGGTCAGTGGGTCAGGGTCGGCCGCGGGGTGCTTTCGGCGGAGTTCATCCAAAATCTCTAAGCTGGGCGTACAGACTGGTGTTGACTCGAGCGCCAACATGGCTCGGCGCAGGCTCCCTTTCTTTGCCAGGCCCTCTGCTCTGCTGATGGTACCCACGTCGTTAGGGCGATGACGTGGCGGGGGTGGTGTGTTGACTGCTTCAACTGCGTCCAGATACAGCTGCTGCCACTCGCCGCGTTGAAATGCACGGAGTATGGCTTTGATTTTCGGCCGATCAGGTCGTTTCGGCGAGCCCTGACGTAGTGTCAGGCGGGGGAGAAAAAGGAATAACTTCCATCCCGCGATAGAGTCTGGGCTTCGCGAGAGGTGCAGAAGTGGTGTCAGCACTGCGAGCGAAAAGATCTCGCACAAGTTTGGCGGTAGCCGTCGTAACAGCGTGGGTTGGCGACTATCGCAGAGAGGCGTAATTTCCCAGTCCGCTACTTCGGCAAATTTGTCAGCCTGCCTCGCCAGCTCTTTTGGCAAAAAATAGCGGGGGTTTTGCGGCTGGCAAGCCGCCTCGCCAGACCCCTCGCGGTCCGATTTCCACGTCCGCGGCCCGTCGCACGAGTAGAAGGCGGGGTTGGAATTGTGGCCGATCGATCGTCATCCTGTGGCCCCTGTGTGTTTCCTGATTGTACCGTCGTTCCTCTCTGCTTCCTCCCCTTCCTCTCGTCAAGTGCTCTCTCTCTCTCTCTCTCTCTCTCTCTCTCTCTCTCTCTCTCTCTCTCTCTCTCTCTCTCTCTCTCTCTCTCTCTTTAATGGTCCGTATATTGATAGGTCGGGTAGGTACACACATGCAAGGTAGGGGAGGGCACACAACCGAACCAGCAGTACTAAGATCCTATCGAATTCACAGTCTAGAGCTCTAGAAGAGGCTCCACTACTGCAAAACAATCCCCGAGGTGCAGCTCGTGTCCAATGCCTCCCACTGGAGGGTTCTCTGCAGCGGCTGCCTCACCCAACTTCATTAGGAGGCCCACCGATTGAGCCCTTTGCAGGGCCACTGACCATTGCTGGCGGAACAGATGCAGGAACTTGGTGGCATAGAATGATTTTGAGTCGGCGTTGAAGTGCCGCCGGGCCGCCGTGTCTGCAAGGAGCTTGAGGAAGACGGGTACCACTGCGCACGGGTATCTCTCTCTCTCTCTCTCTCTCTCTCTCTCTCTCTCTCTCTCTCTCTCTCTCTCTCTCTCTCTCTCTCTCTCGAACGGTCCTTTGTATTGATATAGAAATGAGAAAACAGCAAAGGCAAGCAAGCAAGCAACAAACAGGTATGTCTAACTATTCTCTTCCCTACCCCTTTCCCCTCCCCCCCCCCAAGTCTTCTACTCACTACCATGGCCCGGTTCTAGGGTAGCAAAGCACTCCCCCGGGTCTAGGACCCCCTCGGGGCCTCCTAAGGCAGGGTTCTCCTTCTGGGCTGCAAGGTTCAGTTTGATGAGGAATCTAACGGCCTGTGCCCTCTGCAAGGCGACGGACCACCGCTGGCGGAACTGGTGCAGCAGCTTTGCGGCCTGGTAGGTTGAGGGGTCCACGTTGAAGTGCAAGGGTGCTGCTCTGTCCGCCAGGTGCTTCAGGAAAGCCTGTACCTCGTCACATGGGCAGCCATAGGTCTCGACTGCCAGAGGGTAAAAGCCTGCAAATTCAGCCGTGCCGTGGTATAGTCCTATGTTCTTATCTGCTGCCTCCCTTGCTACCCATCCCCTTCCCTTCCTGGCAGTCTCGTCCCTTTTGCTGATAGGGTCGGTGATGGTTATGTCACCCAGCCACACCGCCCCACTGCTTCTATCCCGAATAGCCAGGTCGGCCTTTTTGTTGTCGACCGGGCTAAACGCCGTACTCTCCTTGTGCACAATGAACCCCGCGTCCTGAGCCATACGCACACACTTGTCCTGCAGCTCATTGTGTGTGCTGGTCCGTCCGTGCCCTGTGCCGCAGCGGAGGAGGTGGTTGGGGAGGCGCTTGTCTGTTATGGCGACTCCGCCTGTGCAGTCGCAGTTGCTAGGGACGGGGAGAGGCAGTCCTAGGCGGAACTGGAGGGCGAACGAGAAGTGGTCGGGATCGAGGCGGAGGGAGGGCATGTAGGGGATGGCTATCAGCCAGTCCCCTGCACCGTAGCATGTGAGGGACAAGAGCTGCTGAGTGTGGCCGCATAGGGGGTTCAGGTCCATATGCCGCGATGCTGCAACTTGAGCGGCACTGCGTCCGCCCTGGACCAGGAGGGCAAGGCGATGCTGCAGCTGTCCCTTGGGCGCTGCCATTTCTGCCACCAGCAGGTCTCGTCCCTCCTGTGTGAGGCTTGCCTTACACTCCCCAAGCCAGGCTTGCAGTTGGTTCGGGTCCGGGTCCACCTCCTTTGTCCAGTTCAGGACGGTGGAGAGGTGAGCCCCTGCGGGGCCGGGTAGGGAGGCAAGGAGTCCGTGCGCCTGGACGAAGCTTGCCAGGTAGCTGTAGCGCCCTTCAACCGCTGGGTCCGCCAGCCCCAGGCCTCCCAGGCTTGGGGGGAGGGAAGCCTGGTCCCACATGCGTCGTTCCTCCGCATCCCCCCTCGGATGGCGCACGCCACAGGGTGACGTCACATATGTAAACTGCCCTGCTGCTCCTGTCCGTCATTGTGAAGTCCGCCGTTTGCTCTTCGATCGGGCAGTAGGCGGTTGATTCCCGGTGGACTATAAAGCCCGCATCCGGCGCCATGCTAACGCAGGCGTCCCGCAGCTCGTTGTGAGTGTTTGTGCGGTGCTTGCCCGTGCCGCAGCGAAGCAGGTAATTTGGAAGGCGGGTGTCGGTGATGGCCGTGTGCTCCGAGCAGTCACAGTTCTTGGGAGTTGAGAAAGGCAAGGCAAGTCGGAAGCGCACGACGTTAGCGAAGTGCACTGGCCCTATCCGCCTCGTGGGAGCGACTGGGATTGCCGTGATCCAGTCGCCGGTGCCGTAGCCAGTCAGGGAATACATCCGCTGCGTGTGTCCCGCGAGTGGATTCAGCCACATGCGCCTCATCGCCTGTACCTGCACGGCGTATCTACTCCCATGCACCTTAAGTCCGAGCACGTGCTAGAGCCGGATGTCAGATCGTTCTAGCCGCTCCTTATCTAAAATCTCCCGTGCATCTGACGGTAGCGCCTCCTCACACTCCGTCAACCAAGCGTGCAATGGCGTGGTGCTGTCCCGCGGCAGGAGCATGTGATTCTGTGCAAGTGTCAGTGCGTTCTCTTCTCCTAGCGAGAGGTCGTTAAGAAGGAGCACCGCCTGAGTGAAGCTCGCCGTGAAGCCGTAAATCCCCTCAATGACCGGGTCCGTGATGCCCAGGCCTCCTAGTGACGGTGGTAACGACGCCTGCTCCCAGACCCGTGTTTGCTCAGTTCTGCATGTCGGCATGCGGATATCGCATGAGGTAAGGAGTGTGGTGAGCAGGTCCATACCCCACTGGCTCCATCTATCTCGGGGGAGGAGGTGCAGGGGCGTTGTCCTTGTAAGGTATGCGACACGCCTTGAGATACATCGCGTAATAAGCAGTGCCGCCACTTGGGGATCCGCCCGTTCGATAAGTGCCAGTGGTTCACCATCTCTTCGAGCTGCCTTGCTAGGAATGTCGCCGCGCCGCAATCAGGCCCCATGAAGCTTCTTAGTAGCCGTATGCCGTCCTTAGAGAACGGTATTCCCAGAGGGAGGGTGGCCGTTTCCATCGCACTTGAACTCCATGCAGCACATTTTTAACGGTTGTGCTCAAGGCCCAAGTGTGCCAACTTGGTCGTGAAGTGAGTGAATGCTGCTACAGTGTGCCCTGCGTCACCGAGAAAAGTCACGTCGTCCGCATACGCCAAACAGAGCACGTCGGGTGCGCGTCTGCGGTTTCACAAAGTGTGGCATGTATCCCAATGCTCATCGCCCCACACTCCCGTTGCTCACTCCCTCAATCACAACTACCACGTTTAACTGCAAGGATGTGCGTGATCAGGCAGGGGTAATCTCTGCCATCCAAGCCCACCTTAGGCTCATGAAGCTCTAGCTGCAGTAAGGTGACGAAGAGGAAGCGCTCGCCAATGTCACTAGAATCGAAACACTCATCAACAAACGCTTCGAGGTGCTCTTGGTGGCGGATAAGGTAGGTTTTGAAGCAGCCTACCGCTTCCAGCTCTACCATGTTGAAAGGTAAGTGAGTGGAATGAGTAGATTAGGTCAAGGTAGGGGTACAAGACAAGTGTTGAGAGAAAATATTGTACCCCTAAGGCACAACTCACTACAGGCTAAACTAACATATGCAATATAACTTTGCCACACCCCCATAGCCTGAGTGAGATTCATCAAAATGACCGCAACAAGCATGTGGTAACAAGACCAGTCTAGAGAAGAAAGCTAAACAAAGCTTAGGGTGGATCTCAAGATCACCACAAGCAAGCGGCCACAAGGCCAGTTCACATGCAGAGTCTATAAAAGCAAGTGCAGTACACTGATCACAACCTAGCAAGAGCAAACATGCAGGTATAGTTATATATTTCAGTGTACAACAAGTGCAAGGCAAGATCCAGAGACAAGCAAGTGAGGCAAAGTGGGCACAAGCCCAAGAGCAGTGCAAAAACGCTGATGATCACTAGACCAAAGGGCCTTGGTGAAGACATCAGCAGTGTTGGCCTGTGTTGCCACGTAAGCAAGACGAAGCTGAGGACACTATTGCAGCTCTCATGTGAGGAAGTAACGGAGAGCAATGTGCTTCGTTATGTGCTCCAGTCTCTGAGCCTGACATAAGGCAATCATGGCCTTGTTGTCAACGTACAGAACTGAAGGAGAACAAGGCCGCTCACCCAAGTCGGTCAGCGGGTAGGTCAGCAGGTAGGTCGGCCAGCGGAGCTCCTGTGCAG